TTTTAAAATGTTTGAAATTGTGACTCTACTTGTTTCTAAGACAGGAAAGGTTAATTGATCACAGTACACGTTAACATGGCATACTAGGACGAAATTGTTTTATTTAGAGAACACAAACCATACTTCTGTTATTTGGGGTGAAGATTACTCAAACATAAATACAAGGCTATTAAAAAAAATTATTAAATGGTAAATACATTTTTTAACGGGCCCATTACGTGACGAATGCTCGGAGAATTATTCTGCTCAAGCAACATTATTTATTGACTCTATACAATGTTATTGAAAAACAGCAATATTTCATCAAAAAATAACAATAAATGTTTCTATAGCCACATGGTCTGAAACGTCCCCAAAATAAAGGGAGTTGTAAATTTCTACACCACTAGTGAGCCTGAACAAAGAACACAACGTAAGTATTGGTCAAATAACGCTATTGTGACCTAAGTTACTCTCATCTTACACTGCATGTAATTAAAAGCTTCGTGTTTTAAAAGTAAAGCGGTTTTAAGTTTTTTATACTTATGGATTTTACATCAAACATTGAAACCATTTTTCCACCAGGAGTCTCAACAATTCTTCAAGAAAGACAGATAGTGTTATCGAAAAATGTAGTTGTTGTTTTGTAGAAAATAGTTTTTCTTTTTCTTCCGTAGTGGTCAAAATTCACCAATTTCTACGCCACTGTAATCTTCGACACAAATATTTTAATTAAATACCTTATCCCTTTACGAAAATATGTTTTCTTTAGTTAGAAATTATAACTTCAAGACCCTGTATCTCAGTAAGGGGACATTTGAGTCCTTCCGTATCGTTGTTTGATACAACTTATTTTTTATATACTTGAATCACCACGACGGCTCAAGGCCTGAAAACCCATAGGGGAACCGCGAGTGTGAAGGGAGATACGGGGGGAAAAGGGAGAGATGCCACACCGACTCTGGCGATGGAACACGAATGCATGCAGCATGCACAAATTCTGGCCCCGCCTTAGATATCCGCCGGGTGGTACCTCCGCGTTCGACAGCTAGAAACCGTCTACCACCTTCGGACAACCACAACACCCTTATAGCCAAAAGACAAATTCTCTTGGTACGGGATTCGAACCTGCACAGCGCACAGCGACTGATTAGTAGACCCCAATGCCCTATAGTACTACTACTGTTTTTTGAATCACCTTTTGTATACTATTTTAATCATTTCCATCCACCCAATAGCCATATTTCATATTGAATGTCAACTATTAAACTAAATCAATCCATGTCTAAAAAATACTCATTTCTAAAAGGCTCTGCTCCATGTAGTTGCGCCAGGTGGTCTCAAAGCTACCCTGTATAGGATTAACTTTGTACCATGTTTATTCAACCCCCCGTTGTTTTGAGTTATTGGCCTGACCAGCGTTATTTTATACCTGTCTGTCTCTAACAAAGTTTCATATTTAAAATTTCGGATGGGTACTGGCCTTCTGCATAAACGTAGGTGAGTGATAATAGTTAGGATAACGAGGGCAACGATTGAAAGAAATTGTTATCAACTGTATATACGTAGATTGTATTGTCAACAATATTTACTTTCTACACCACTGGCGAGGAAGTATTGTAATCACGAAAAATTTCAAAATTGACATATATTTTTCGAATGGTATATGACACTCATTTCCGTCCGTCTGTCCGTCTGTCGGCTAACCCTTTGACCGGATATAACTTGGAAAGTTCCGTGATTTTAGACGAATTTTTTTCACAAAGTTACTACTATGCCAAGCACGAAACATTTCTCTAGTTATTAAAAATCGGTCCAGTGACAACGGAGCTACCGGGCAAAAAAGGAAAAAACAGAAATAGCTCAAGCTTCCTTCTTTTTTGGCATTTCAGAGGCTTCTCGTGGTTTTCAAAAAGTATAGACATCACAGACTTCCCCGTACTGTTGCCATGCAAACATACAGTGATAGAGAAATGGTTTCGATACGCATCTCTGCTTTTGCTCGGTGGGGAAAGGGCGAGGGTGCCAGATAGGCGGTACTACCGGTAGAGCGGGGAAAGAATGTTTATCGACTAACTTTATGGGCCTGTTTGACTGGCTAGTTCTCTGTTTGAAACTAACTTTTTTTCTCAGAGGGTCAAACTTTATGAACTGATGACTGCGTTGCGGAGGAAGTACAGAGTCAAACTACTTGACGCCATTTTTTATGCTATGGTTCATATTTTTAGTATTTTATATCAATCTTCCTCTTCTGAAAGGATACATGTGAGGATATAATAAAACATGGAAAAAATGTCCAAGCTTTTCATAAACTAAATGCCTCACGTACATTAAAATAGAATGTTTCGTAGTCAATTCATATTCTAGGGTTCCCATATAAAAAAATCCCAGAGTATACTCTAAAGACTATCTTGGCATTCTGCAACCAACAAAGCAGGATGGTCATAGGACCTGTTGTGTCGTGAGTTATTCCTCCATAGAAGACACTTTTGATGACGCTCACGGCGCTCATGGCCAGCAATCGCAAAATGTTGTATCTAATAGGAACCTTCTAGGCAGCAAGTTGAGATGTTGGTTTTTTGACGTTTTATAAGTTTTTTATGTAATAATCCTGCCGATCGTGGAGATCCCTTCTTATTTGTTTTACAGGGATCTCCTACGCCTATGTTAACATGTTCAGTGGGAATGGTTCCTTTGTCATAGTGAGGCTCTTATCAGATCGTCAAGAGGTTTTGTTATCGCTTGACGCAGGGCATATTTCTGTAGAAATATGAAAAGGAAGCAACGTGCATGATAAGTCAGGATTAGGTTACCTGCGGTTTGTATTTCATATTCAGAGTGGGTACTTTTCTTTATCTGGTTTCGTCTTCCACAAGATATACCATACTTGGAAATGGGGACGTAATTTTCGACAAGCACTTGGTTCTGTTTTCTATAAAGTGGTTTTTGAAGGATGGACTTCTATGATAACACAAAAACCTTTTTTTAATTCTAGAAGCGGCTGTTTAGCTTGAATTTGTCACTCTATGAATTTTTGAGCACCGGGGCAATGCAATGCAGAAAATAATCAGAATTTTTTTTTCAAAATAACAATTTCTCTATTGTTATGAAAAAATATATTGATTGTTGCAGGGAGAAACAAGGTAAGAGAAATGGATGAGGAATTTTGATAGTATAAGAGCCTTCATAAGTTCTGGTATTTCTCTAAACTTCTCGATACGAAATTTCAGAGGGTGATTCGTCAAGGTCGTTTTAAGAAAAGCTGCTATGAACATGTGTCCAGAGTTAGTTCGTTTTTAAAATGCTGAGCGTAAAAATGGTATTTAAAAAAACCATAAATATACTTAAACCGATTTGGTTAAACTATTTGAAGTAGTAAGGCGCATGATAAAAAAATACACCAACAACTTTTTTATAAATTTTATATGTTTTTAGGTTGAGCAACGAAAAATACAACTTATGGTCTTTTGTCTTTGCTACATATCTTGTTTGCTATGATAGAAAATATTCAACTATGGTGTGACGTGATCTTTATTCTTTTCTTAGAAACGAAGCCAGTTGTGAAGAAAACGCAAGCGACCAATAGAATGTATTTTTAAGTTACTTAATCTACAAATATATACAGGGTGTGGACGGAATATTACTCATAAACAAATACATTTTGGGAAACTCTATTCATGATATATACATGACATTTGTGGGCACAGGATGTCCCAAGTTTGACCTACATATCAAAGTTGTAATTTTTTAAATAGAATGCCTCAAATTTTATTACACATTTGGATAAACCAATTCAAAAAAAGAAGATTGATATAACATACTACAAAATTCAGCAGTCCAAATTTCAAAATAGCGGACTGAGGGGTTGCCGAAGTGGGGGGTTTTTCAAGACAAAACACCTTATATCTCAGTAGCCAATTACCAAAACCTAGTATGTTATATCAATTTTCTTCTTTTGAATTGGTTTTATCCAAATATCCAATAAAATTTGAGGCATTCCATTTGAGAAATCACAACTTTGATATGTAGGTCGAAATTGGGACACCCTGTATAATGGCCAATATTTTGTAAATGTGCCCTCAAATGTCATTTATAACATCCCATAAATAGATTTTCAGAAAATGTATTTGTTTATGAGTAATATTCCGTCCACACATGGATGGGCCACTCTGTATATATATATACAGGGTGACTTTGAAGTTGAGTCATTAATTTTCAGATAATGATTGTAGAAGGAAGATAAACCAAAATATGTGTGTAAAAATAAAAAAAATAAAAAAAAAATTTTACCTTGTTTTATAAAGTATCCTCCCGACAAGTATTTCAGTGCGGACCTGTATTTGATCGTGAGGTCCCCTGTGAGGTCTTAAGTCACCTGATTCACGAGCCCGTTGTACTACATTAACAAAGGCACGAGGGGTTGGTTGCACTCGATTGGGAAACCGATCCGCATAAACATGTGCCATTTTTTATTTCGTTTGAGCCACGCAACAAACACTATTCACACGCTTTACCGACTGACACTGACTGTATGTATAACTGAACTGAATAAAATAATTGTAAATACATCGTTCCAAATTCTTTCGCTTTTTTGTTTCCGATGCGATGAACCGATAAGGCGGATTATATCCGTTGTTGCCAAACACGAGCACATGATATTATTATTGAGACAGGGCGGTACCCAAACTTAAAAAGGGCAATAACTTTGTTACTTTAATTTTACCAGAAAAATGGTAAAGGAAAAAAACATTTCTTTTGATCAGATCTACTCACTGTTAAAATAAATGACTCAACTTCGAAGTCACCCTGTATATATATATATATATAGTGCAAAAAATTCATTGGCGTACCCTTTTTCTCAAAAAACTTCAATGTTCTGTATCTCAGAGATGAAGCAACGCCCTAGACATGTTCATAGGACCTAAATAATCACACTCAGAAGTTTCGTACAATAGTTAAGAAATACCCTGTATAGTAATAGTCCATACATTGGTTTCGAGAATTCCCTACGACGTACTTACCCTTCAGACACCCAAGTTCCAGCCAGTAGCTTTTGACTGGTCTCAACAACAGTCCTATGATCTTCTATCGCAGTCAAAAATGCCAACTTCTCACACTTCGTGACATCTCCAGCAGTATGTTTTCCTGCAATAGAAAATAAAATGATATGTTTGCATTTTTAGCCTAAATATATGTGGACTAGAAAAACGATGCAAATATAGTACTTCTTGGGGAGAAAATAGGCTCATAAAACATGAGGGAAAATTCCTATGAATAAAGTTCATTTCTCTAAACTTTCTGTAAGCTTTTATTTAGCTTAATAAACGTGGCGCCAGGCTGTGTATTTAATATAAATTTTTTTATAATTATGAACAGATTTAACGAGTATCAATTTCGCAAATCCGTACGTTTCATGTCACTGTCAACTTCAGCGCATAAATATTATTTTCTGACATCTGACGTAAAACACAACCGCCACGGCAGGTTCTCACCCTAAGGAAACTCGCCGGGGTATTATGTAAAAAACCAAAAAAAAGTCAAAAAAAAAAGATGAAATGTCATCTTGCAGACAAGGTAATTTTTAGTGTGCAAATAGTTCATTCCACGTTTGCCTGCTATGATCGCTGATCGCTGATGTTTAAGCAACACAACACGTACATCTACAAAACGAGTGCACAACAAGTTTAGTGTACAACAGGTGGTGCTTAGTTGACGTCTTCTAAACCTAATTTATGTGACAAAAAACCGACAAAATGTCACTTTTCAAGAAAAGTAATAGCCGTGCTGTGCAAAAACTTACGTCACGCTAGAACCCATTATCGACGGGAAATTTTCGGTTTGGACTTCTAATCTTTATCCTGTTCAGGGCAAGTTTTGCGATAACCTCTTCACAGAAATAAGTGAAGGTCCACAGAATATATTCTTGGAGGCAAGGTAGATATGTATTGTCAACGCCAAACAAAGTGGCGTGCACGTCATCACGATAAAAATTCCCCGACCTAATGCCTAGGTTTCTATCACAAACAATTGCTCTAATGCAGTTTCATATTAATGTGATATATAAATTGTAAAATGGCCATTACTCTCTTATTATGGTTAATAGTCATATAAACATTGTTATTAAAATATCACATAAGTTGCTTTCTGATAAATTTAGACGCATTATGCGAAATAAAATGTTTTGCAAACGCTCCAATCACTTATCGACATGTAAACGCACTGAACCGATTTCGCAGCGTTGACACATTGTCACCTTGAAACTTATTTAAACTGGGAACTGACATTTGTATTAATTTTGACACTGAATCAATTTGTGGCATTTCAAATCTTTATAAATCATTTGGCCCCGCATACTGTAAATCAACAACTGTTTGTTTCAAAACAAAATTATTCATTTTAAGAGTAGATAAAGGCAATTTTGGTATATAAAGATGCCCAAACAGTTAAATAGTCGGTGTAAGGAACTCGTGGCCTCGTTAATGCACTACTTTGAGCAAGAAAGGGACAACAACGGGCCTTTGTTGCCTTTAAATGCTGTTCAAGAGGTAGGTTACTAATAATTATATGTAATGTATATTAATAATAGTGAAATTTTATTTCATTTTTTGTAGCGTGTTGCTGCTGCTTTAAAAATTAGTTTAAGGACAGTTAGTCGTATTTCCGAGGGTGTGAAAAGTGATGCAAATTTAGAATCGCCCAAGAAAAAGCGGAGTTATATTAAACGTGTAACCAACACAGCGACATTGGATACAAGTGCCATTCGAGAAGTGATCTATAATATGTATCACAAAAGTAAGATCTTATTATAATAACTTATCAGAAATTTGCATTAATTTGTTAACTAAATTATAATGTCATATTACACATGGTTTCAGAAGAACAAGTTACGATACAAACTTTATGGTCTCGATTAAGAGATACTGCATTATTTGATGGTAGTGCCACGTCTTTAAGGCGGTTGCTTAGAGATCTTGGATTTAAGTGGCTTAAGGACAATCCGCGACGAGGGCTCATGGAACTACCAAGTATAGCTTTGAAAAGGGTGGAATTTCTAAGGCAATACAATCAAGCCAAGGTTGAGGCCTTATACCAGTTTGTCTTCCTCGATGAAACTTGGATATTTCAAAATGGGACCATAGGTCGCTCTTGGCAAAATGGAAACCAAAAAAGCGTGAAAGCTATTAAAACAGATGGTAAAAGGTATGTACTTTTACACAATTTGCACTATAAAATTTAAAACTAATATATTTTAGATACATTATATTGCATGCTGGAAATGAAAATGGGTTTATTGAGGGTAGTGAAGCGATATTTTCTTCGAAAACAAAATTGAGCGATTACCATGGAGAGATGAACCAGGACAATTTTTTGAAATGGTTTCAACATCAGTTATTAGAAAAATTGGAGAGTCCATCTATGATTATACTGGATAACGCCCCTTATCACAGCATGATATTGAACAAAGTGCCCAACAATGCATGGACAAAAAAAAATATCCAAGACTGGTTGACAAATCAAAACATACCATTTTTAAACACAATGTTTAAAACAGAGCTATTGAGTATTGTTGCTCGGTACATAATGCTTCTTAATTATATATATTTTGGTCGACAGTTTATATTTCTTTTGTTTATTCCTATTCTTAAAATAACTGCTTTTTTAGAAACAAACCACCTAAAATATACGTGATTGATGAATTGGCGGAACAACATGGGCACAAAGTTCTTCGTCTGCCTCCTTACCATTGTATATTTAACCCTATTGAGTTAATTTGGGGCATAGCAAAAGGTTACTATAACAGACATATTGGTAGAGATGGTAACAGTGAAAAAGACTGTTTGGATATGTGGAACGAGGCTCTACAAACGGTTACCCCAGACATGTGGAAAAATAGTGTTCGACATACTGAGCAAGAAATTTTTAAATGGTATGAAAGAGAACGAATTTTTGATCGACCAGACATCGAACCTTTAATAATCAACTTTGAGAGTGATGAAGATTCAGATTCAGACAGCGCTGAAAAAAGAAACTCCGACTAACTTTATTGTACAGAAAAAGCTTACACCAGTAGCTTACCTAATTTTAGAATGCATTTTTCTGTATGAATTCTGTAAAATAAATACCATGCATAAAATTTGGAGGACCCCATTTGGATTTTTATTCAGTACCTTTAAGCTATCAATTAAATATGGTAGTTTCATAGTGTCATCTGATCAATAATTGTCATACTTAATGATTATGCAAGTACAGATCTATAATTTTATTATACTATTATTTTTGTTCTCATTTGAGGTTAATATTGCTTATAAACCTAGATATGTAAATAATAAATTTTATTATTTTTCAAAAAGTTTGGCAACAATGTAAATTTTTCAACACACCCACCTTGATGACGTGCACGCCACTTTGTTTGGCGTTGACTATAGATTCAGTGGAAAACAATTTTTTGTAAATGGCTCATCATTTAAACGTTAATAGGAAAATTGAAGCGAAAGCATTAAATATTTCTTGTTAGATTTGACACAATCTCAAATTTCCGCAATATGTAAGGGATTCTTTAGTTGAACTAATGTAGTTCGGTTAACTTTCGATCAAAACACGGCTTTTGGGCTTTTCACTGTATTTTGCAAATTTGCCTTCCTAACATTTTTGGACACACCGTATATCGGGCGAAACAAAGATAGTAACAAGAGAAAACAAATTCGAGGTCTAAATTAAGACGTCTAGTAAGAAGCTTCCTGTTTTTTCAACAAACTATACGCAAAGTTACCCACGACCGATTCTTGGTAAGCCTCCAAGTGTTATGAACTGCATTATTTACGTTGCTAATTGTTTGAGTCATTTTGAAGGGACAAGATATGTAGCAGTCTACTCAAAATAGGAAAACTAAACAGCCGGACTAGGTAGTTTTATTTTTCTTTCCATTTAACAGTTCCGTTCTGTGTGTGTTTATGCTCGCCACATGTGTCTGTGAGGAATCGACTCTGGCCTGATTCGAAAACAAATTTGACCCTGCTCAAATAAATAGGCTGACAAGAATGACAAATTGTTGGTGTTGGATATTATCGGCATTATCTTCTGCCTGCATAACTTTTACATCTTCGGCTTCGTAGAAGGAGACGTCATTTTTGTCTCAGGGGTCTAAAGCTCCACATACCGGGAGTAAATAAACTAACTATACGGCGGCCAATATACCGAGTGTCTCAATTTTGACTCTCAACAATATGATCTGGGGAACGGTAAGAGGTCTGAAGTCCGAGGCAAATGTGTGCATTGATTAACATATTCTACTTGAGGATAGCCAACCGAAAACTATATTCGCGTCCGAAAAATGAGATACCGTAGCGTCATCTATGAGTATTTGTCACAGCATGTTTCTTCTCTCTGCAACAACTCAAATCCACTTGAAAAAGGTTAGTGTCTCGTAGACAATGCTGTAGCTATATGCTCATATATAGTCGACTAGTGCGTCATCTGTAAAACAATAACGTTTCCAAATTAGGCTCCTAATTATTGCGCAGAGAAGAAATGTATCTGTAACAAGGTCTCATAGACGACGCTAGGGTATCTCATTTCAAGAGGATAATTTTTCAGACGTGCGATTTTATTAACAGGTTGGCTCTCTTAATCAATGCTTTTTTAAAATGTATTTTGCGAAGTATACGTATATACTGTAATAGTCAGCGATGCGGAAACACCTTATATATTAATAAGTAGGCATTTTAGGACCTATGTTTATATGAACAGGTAAAATACATTAATCAGTGTTATAAGAGAATGGCATATAGAACGTTTTGCAATTCAATTCAAAAACCGACATTTTCCAAAATCGTTTTTGTTTTCCGCTGGCTTTATTTTAGGTCCCAGCATAAATTGCACGTCATTGATCAATCAATCAATAACCTTTATTTCCAAACAGTCAATATATAATTGTATTGGAATTGTCAATTTTTCGTTCGCTACAAACCTACAACTAATCTCAAATTGCAATGTTCAAAAATTCATCAACACGATAAAAGCACTTTTTTATCAAAAATTGCTTCAACTGGAACTTGAAGTCGTTAATATTTTTAACCGAGGTAATGTGGCATGGTAAATTATTAAAAAGAAGCGTACCAATTTTATTAGGTGATCGAAATGCCGCT